ACAATATCATCATAAATATTAAGTAGTAATTTAAGTTACCTCTGTCTCAGTCGCATGCACACAGTGCTGCCAGTTTAACATTAGCATACTGTTGTTGCATGATAAAAGGCTGCAATAAGTAACTTTTAATGTTTTTACCCATCCATATAGGTCTGATCTCAATATTCCTGTGACCTCTTACATACAACCAGAAAGGCAAAGCTGCAGGCCCACAAGAGAAAATAAATAAGTACTGAGTTGCAGCTGTTACAATGTGACTTCACTTCCTCCCCAAAAAAAGCATCAAATATTTATTAAACTGAGTGTACACGCTGTACTTGCCTGCTACAGAGTTTAATGTATCGTCAAGATTTTATAATAATGTTGATAAATCCACAATTCACAGCAGAGATCCTTAAATATGACACAACAGTTACAACAACTGTTTATTAAACCAACAAGGGGAAATTCAATGTTCCCACTCTGGTGTTATTATTGTTATTAATATACAATAACACACATGTAACAGCACAAGGAACAGTTGGGGGTTCATTTGACTTATTTGTGCAATAACATCTTATGTTCCAAGACCCAAATTAAACGAGATATATCAATTTGTCTTATTGTTTATTTAATTATCTCCATTTATTTTAAATGTATTTTTGCTGCATTTAGTAGGATGTTTATTTATTTATTTATTGAGCATTTAAAAAAAAAATTGTGTTCATTTTCGATTGTGGCAGACTTGGTCCTCCATAGGGAAACGCAAAGGTGGTGCTGAAAAGTTGAGGAAGGGATAAAGAAGATGTCGCTTGCAAAGTGCCTCAAATTACATTACAATTAAAATGACTTTTCTTTTGGTGCTGCTGCTACTTCTGCCGCCACCAGTGGAGACACCAGTGAAGATGCCGGTGTCGGCAGGCGTGGGTAATAACTCCTTAGAAGTCACACAAATGAGTTATAGAAGTCGTTGGCAACTTTTCATGTTCCTTTTTTTAAAACCATAGTTTAATGTTTACTCGAGTAGGCCGATTTGTTTTCGGCCAGTAATCTACTTGACTACATTTCCCATTCATACCTTCATTAGGCTACTTAAGTAGTCTTTAGTCTTTTATCAACCAGCCTATGCATGTTGCTTCAATAACCGAAACGAGCTGGCATCCAAGCTGAGTGCGCGCGGGGTAAGAGAGCTGTGCGCTTCTGCCAGATAGGCCTATTAATGAGCTGGACAAATGCAGATATTTACAAAATCAGGCTAGGCCTAATAGCCTGCCTTTTCAGGCTTCATTGTTGTACTAATGTAACCGAAATCCAGTAACTGCACACTGTTCCACTGGTGGCAGTGTTGGAAAGCAGCCTACATAGCCCTTTCACAAGCCGGCAGAAATACTACTTTCCATTAACGGCGTATTTATATTGCCTGCAGAACACATGTAAGTTACACACTGTAACATCTAACATAGATCAGTATTCTGATAAGCCTATAGGCTATTTAGAGAATGCTCTCGCATTGCGAAAATAGCCTGTTTATTTTCTCTAATTGACAGGTTGCTATTTGATGCCCGGCGTTGAATCCATTATATAAAATGTTGCGGTGAAATTGATCTTGGCTTTTAATCAGTAAGCTACAGCTGTTAGCCTATTTATTCAGGATTGAGATGCAGGGAGAGAGTAAATAGCCTACTTCATTCGACAAAGAGCTCCTCTCCTGTTATTGCCACAATAATTTGTTGAAAAGATTAGTAGGCTACATAGTTGCTTTAGGAATAATCACATTGTATTGGCTGTGCTATCTTAAGCAAATAACCTATTCAGCGCCCTTAATTTTCAAAGCAAGTGGTTTGGTTGGCCATGTCCATAATAAAAAACACCGACAATCAGATCTTATCCACACCTTTCTTTAGATAAAAAAAGCAAAATAATTGTAGGAAATAGCTCAATTAAAGATAGCCAACAAGCAAGTAAAGTGCATCCCCTAGAAATAACCATGTTGTACAGTGGCATATTGCTAACCTGATGCACCAACAAGAAAACTTGTAGGCCTACTTTGAGTAGTTTAATAACCAAGTAGCCTACTTTTATACTTTCGCTTGAGGGTAGTTTTTTTTACGGGAGTAATTGGCTACTTTTACTAAGACAGTCTCCAGATCCAGAGCCTTCGACAAATGCTTTGTCCGAGAGTTGGCAGAGCAGGGAGACTTTTCCGGACCTTTTTTTTTTTTACCCAGGTTTCCCCTGCATAAAGGACTCAAAAAGACTGCGAGAGAGCCCTCATGCACTTGATGAGCCCTCACGGACTCCCCGGGAACGCGCCTCAGAGTCCCTGAGTTCATTCTTGTGGAGATTGGGATTCAGCCATACTGTGCGCCGATTGGCCCAGAAAACCTCGAATGATCGGCTCGGAATTTGCACTGTGGTCACCCCATCTGCACTTCGGAGATGTACGGTTACACTTGAAGATTGATTGCGCATATACATCACCTTTTACGGTAAAGCTTATGGGCAACAACAGGGACTTCGTGGAGCATTCAAGCATTCAAGTGCACCTTGTAAACTCAGGAATCTATACTTGAATGGCCACCAAGGATGTTTAAAGCTGGACATTTTTTATATTCTTGTTTTCCTTTGTTGCAGTACATACAGCTGTCTCTACTTTATTGATCGTTCACTACAGCATTTTTTAACAAATCACATAGCAAAGCTAATATTCCATATTCAAATTGTTAACTATAGTTATCAGCAAATACCACCATATTCTTGTACAACATATCTCAGGGACCTTTGTGATAATTGTTATTTTATTGCAGCATTTTTAATAATTAAATTCAGTGACATCAACAATTGGTTTGTGGACTACTGTTTTGACATGTACTATGCGCCGATTGGCCCAGGAACCCTCGATTGATCAGCTCAGTATTTGAACTGCAGACACGTCGTCAGCACTCCAGGACTCTGCACTCGCCCAAACATCTCCACCTGTAAATGTTTGTACAACACAAATCCGACAAAACTGCACATGTAGATACTTAACTTGTACATCTTGTTATTCCATTTTTTATATTTATGCACATACACCTCCCATTTCACACACATCTCGCAACACTCTCTAAACACAGCCCGTGACAATTTAATACACAAGGATACACTCATTGTCATTGGAATTTTTCAGAATCTGGCAACCCAAAAGTTGTTCCCATGTTTTTCTACTTATATAAATCATTAATAAATGATTTGTTAACTTAAATAAACCAAGTAATTTGAAACCCTTTATAAATAATGGCATATTAGGAAGTGATAGCACATTTTTAACACCTTGATCACATGGTGTGACATGCTATTCAGTGACTGGTGTTGTATTGACGCGTGTGTGTGGTGGGTGGTTCAGATGAATCATCTGCTGATGGACATCTCGTCCACATCGTCCGGCTGATCATGCAGGTACCTGGTCTGTTATGAAATAGGTGTACTCTGTAGGGCTGCTGATGGGTTAACTCTACACTATTTTGTCTGATCCTCTACTTTAGTTGCAAGCCACCTGTCATATCAAGCAGTCCATCTTCAACGACTGGTTGAGCTGACACCTGAACTTTCAAATTGAGCACCAGTAAGTTAATGATTGAGTCCAAGGAGTGGACTCACGATAACGTGTTCACAAGTTCAAAGTTTGAAGGAAAACAGACACGAAACTCCTGTAGTGTAGTGCCATCTCAGCTGTCAATCATCTCTAAAAGCTCCTGAAGCACACAGTATTGCAGTACAAAACAAATAAATAGGCTACTGAAATCATGTTAACAATAATTTAACCCTTTATGAAGCAGCCATTACATTTACATTTAGCTGATGCTTTAATCCAATGTGACTTACAATTGCTATGCATGTCAGAGGTTGCACGCCTCTAGAGCAATGATGGGTTAAGTGTCTTGCTCAGGGACACATTGGTGGATGGGTTACAGTGGAAATTGAACCTGGGTCTTTCACGCCAAGGTCATGTGACAGACACAGACACAGAAGCAGTTTCTTCCCACAAGCCATCACTCTGATGAACAGCTGATTTCTGACTCACAGTGTCAGGAACAATTCCTGTGCAATAACCCAGTAACTCTGTCTCTAATCAGCACCTGTTTACTGGTTTCCACTTATTATTTATTTATTCACCATTCTCTATTTCAGTGCTGTTCATACTATGTCATATTGTATATACTGAATACCAATACACCTACTTCAGGTCTTGAGGTCTTGGGTCTTATTTATTTTTTCCAGCATCCTATGCACTATGCTCCATCACACTGTGTACATGTGTACATGTATGCATGTATGTGTATGTGTACCTGTATATCATATCCACCTTCAACATGTACATGCTGCACTATTTGTCAATATGTCTATGTTGTTTTGTTCATAGTGTGTATATTAGTGTTGTCTATTCTGTAGTTTGTGTCTGATTTTATTTTATTATTATTTTATTATTGTGTTATTGTATAAGTAAGCACATCGTGAGCGATGTACAATCCTCAGTCAAATTCCTCGTATGTGTACACAGACCTGGCAATAAAACTGATTCTGATTCTAATGTGTCTTAACCACTGCTCCATTCCCACCACCCCCCCATTACAGACACAAACTAATCAAACCTGCTGAACTTTATATTTAATTCCAGTCATCTTAATGTTTTTTCTGAATAGGTATAAAATGACTTAAATATTTATCTCTGTGTAAGCCTTATTGAAGAGTTGTGTTCTCTGTACTCTGAGGATGACTGATTGATTTTAACAACATTGAAGCTACTTAAATGTGGTTTCAAATCTTAAGAATTTCTCTTTACAATACAAATTGATGACTAAGTGGGGAACAATCAAAATAAACATTGTTAAAAAGCCTTAGTGGCCAGAATTTCTGAATTTACGAGCTGAGCTGAATGCACCATGACGTCCTTGGAGGTGCCCATGGTGCCCACACGCTTTACCGTAAAGAGCAATGTATATGCGCAATCCCTTTTGAAGTGTATATAGCGCCACTGTGCCAAAGTGCCGTTGGCCTGACCGCAGTCAAAACTGACTGTATCTTTTGGTGTGTGCAGGTGGACCCAGGCCGGAGACCGCAGTGAGGATGGGAAGGGGAAGCCAGTTGACAGAGCCAGGCAGACAAGCAGATGGTGTTTACACCTGGGAAGAGGTGCAGCGCCACTGCAACAGGAATGACCAGTGGCTTGTCATCAATAGAAAGGTTTACAACATCACGCAGTGGGCCAAAAGACACCCAGGAGGGTTTCGAGTCATCGGCCACTATGCTGGAGAGGACGCCACGGTAATGTTTTTAAATGATCAGGCCTATAGGCCTATATTTTTCTTGGAATGTGCACATATCAGCCATAACTTCATGACCATTGACAGGGGAAGTGAATAACACAGATTATCCCATTATCATGGTACCTGTCAGTGGGTAGGACACATTGGGCAGCAAATAAAAATTTGGTCCACAAAGTTTGTGTTAGAAGCAGGAAAAATGGGCAAAGGTAAGACTGACGACTGGGTCAGAGCATCTCCATAACAGTCTATAGTGGTCAGTAGCCTAACTATCAAAAGTGGTCCATAAGCCGACCAGCTGCAACTGTAAAATGCCTCTTACACATTGATGCATCAGTATTCACAGTGTAGTACTTTCAGGGTGCGATTTGTGTAAAAAAAAAATCCCTCCCCACCCCACCAGGTGAACTGTGGATTGATTGCAAAGTTTAAAGTTTACTCCCACTGTTGCTGCAGTTAAAACGCAGAAAAGACAGATGCATGCTGTGTTTAACTCTGAAGTGCAGTGAGTGGGTAAGGGGTAAGGGGAGAGCAGGGACGTGCACAGACATTTTGGTGGGCAGGGGCTCAAATGAAAAAAAGGGCACAAGACAAATATATTAACTCAACAACATTTTTAATTTTCTACAAAAAATCAGTTCACACAGAGACCAGGGTCTTCTTTAGTATTCACTAGGTTTATCACAGGAGCAGGCAACAGCAAAGCAAACTATGCCACAATGTGCATGTTTTCTATGCTACTGGTTTCAAGTATGTATTTATGACATAGTTTCATTAATAATTTGTTTATTTTTCACAAGGCAATAAATTGTTTCAAGTCTTTTGGTGTTATTGGAATACATAACACCAAACTGTGGCATTGGGCTGCAGGAATAATTAAAATAAATGTTATTTGAATACTTTTACTTTTTGGAAAAGGAATAAATATAGGCTACTGTATATTCATTTATTAAAAAAAAAATAAAAAAACGTCCCAGAAAAAAGGGCACTTTCTCTTGAAGAAGAAAAAGGGCAGGTGCTGAAGCCCCTTTTGATGTCCATGTGTGCACGTGCCTGGCTGAGAGAGACTGATTTAAAAGTTCTCACTTTCAAGAGTGTCATTAAGTGAAACCCTGTAGCTGTGTGCTCGGGCATGTTGACTGGTGTAGCACGGACACTGTAGCCTGGGCATGCTTGTCATCATAGAAACAGATCATCAGATTGTGAAGTTTATTGCAGCTTCAGTGATATCGGCTGCCTTCCCTTCGACACACAGCGTCGCTGTTCACAGGAGCTAACATGTCGTGAGCGTTGATAGGCGACTTGTAATCAATCAGACAGTGCCTGGACGGAGCATTAAGCAAGACTCCAGCCTGGTGATAACCTATAGACAGAGAGGCAGCTGGATCAGAGCCAAAGTAGCGCATTTTAAAATTACATTACATTACATTAAAACATTTTATTTTACTACTTGCTGACGGAATTTCTCATTTCTGTGTTCCAGGAGCCATTCACTGCTTTCCATCCCGATTCAAAGTTTGTGCAAAAGTTTCTGAAGCCGCTGCTGATTGGAGAGCTGGCAGCAACAGAGCCCAGCCATGACGGAAACAAAAATGTGAGCTTGGCCTCAGATTCAAATAAAGACCTGCCATTATTCATGTAGCAGCTTTAGTCTCTTTAGTGTCAGGGGAACAACATGGCAGGAAGTAGCCTAGGCTACACCTGAGGAAAAGATGTAGGCTAGGTCAGAACCATTCACAGATCTGTTATTCATGAGTCCTACAGTGTTTATCTGAGATACTGGACTTGTGCTTCATTAGCTGTTAAGTAATGTCTTCTTGATCTTCTCTGTACCTAAAACCCTGGTGCCGCACGCCATCAAATGCTATGAAAATGTTCACAGAATGTGTCGATTTCTTCTTCTCTGCTCCCAGGCAGCAATTATGCAGGATTTCCAGGCTTTACGTACGCAGGCGGAGAACGAGGGTCTGTTTCGATCTCAGCCTTTGTTCTTCTCCCTCCACCTGGGTCACATCCTGCTGCTGGACGCCCTCGCCTGGCTGATGGTTTCGCACTGGGGAACCAGCTGGACCATGACGTTTCTGTGCGCGGTCATACTGGCAACCGCTCAGGTGACTTGAACACCGTTACCTCTAAATGAACTGTTTTGTGCTTCAAAAGATAAATAATCTCAAAATGCTTGTTTCTCTTCTGACTCTTTAGTCGCAGGCCGGATGGCTGCAGCATGACTTTGGCCACCTGTCGGTCTTCAAGAAGTCCAGCTGGAATCACTTAGTGCACAAGTTTGTCATCGGCCATTTAAAGGTAATTGGTAGTCTCGGTTGTATATATATGTCTTTCTGGACATTTTACACAGATTTGTTTTCTTAGGGAGCCTCTGCAAACTGGTGGAATCATCGGCATTTCCAGCATCACGCCAAACCTAACGTCTTCACTAAGGACCCTGACATCAACATGATGGACATGTTTGTACTTGGAACCACTCAGCCAGTGGAGGTGAGTAGCACACAGCTGATATTCCTGATTTCTTAAAACAGCCCTTAAACATCCAATGTGAGCTATAATCTCTTACAAGCTGCTCAATGTGTTGGCTCATTCTAACTCTGTATTCCTCTCTGTTACAGTACGGCATAAAAAAGATCAAATCATTGCCCTACAATCACCAACACCAGTACTTCCATCTTAGTAGGTTTTCTTGGAGTCATTTAAAAATAATGAAACTCCAACTTAGTGAAAAGTTTACAGGAATAATTGTTTTTTTGTTTCTCTTTTAGTTGCACCGCCGCTTCTCCTTCCAGTTTTCTACCACATCAATATAGTACAGACCATGATTTCTCACCGCTTGTGGGTGGTAAGATGCTCTCCTCTGTGTGGTACAGTGCAATTAATGTGAAGGTTTTTTGTTTGGTATCAGGTCACATAGGCAAATAGTTCTAAGAATATTTCAGCTTAAAGTGCTGAAGGAAAAAAAAACATTACAATAAGTGAAAATAGACAATGTGCCACAAATAGAGATAAAAGATGCATTTCAGGGAGATTCTTGGTAACACAGATACAGTATATACCAATCATATTCATATAATCATATTCTTTTCCTGTGAAGGATCTGGCTTGGTTTATGTCTTACTACGTTCGCTTCATGTACTTTTATGTACCTCTGTATGGCGTGTTTGGCTCAATGGGGCTCCTGCTCTTTGTCAGGTAAATGACCTAAAAGAATAACTCAGAAATGTTTTTGGTGAGACTTTCTCGACATACTTTATAAAGTGTATAAACTGTATGTTGCAACTAATGGATCGGTTGAGAGTTGTTTTTAAATTATTTATGAATGGTCTTTTGGGCTGGATGCTCCACAGCACTTTTCTTAAAGGTGAATTCTTTATTTTTAAATCGGTGCTTGTGATAAATTACAGTTTATCACAAGCACCCCCCCCTTTTTTTTGAGACACATACCGTGCAACACATGCTCTGAACACAGCAAAAATTTAAAACACATGAATACACATTCATACAAGACAGAGCAAGATAAAACAAAACAGACTACATGATGCTGGAGGAGGATAAACACCAGTGAAAGATATTTTTCAGAATCTGGCAACCCAAAAGTTGTTCCCATGTTTTATTACTGATCTATAAATCATTAAGAAATTATTTGTTAACTTAAATAAACCAAGTACTTTCAAACCCTTTATAAAAATGGCTTATTAGGAAGTGACATTATTATACAACAACTTGATCACATGGTGTGACAAATAATTTAGTGACTGGTATTGTTACCATTGACAGGTTTCTGGAGAGTCACTGGTTTGTGTGGGTGACTCAGATGAATCATCTGCCGATGGAAATTGACCACGAGAAGCACCGGGACTGGCTGAGCATTCAGGTACCTGGTATATTATGAAACAGGTGCACTCTGCGCTGCTGATGGGTTAACTCATCTGCACTAATTTGTATTACCCTCTACTTTAGTTGCAAGCCACCTGTAATATCGAGCAGTCCTTCTTCAACGACTGGTTCAGTGGACACCTCAACTTTCAAATCGAACACCAGTAAGTTTGTAGTGCCATGTCAGCTTTTTGAAGTGAATGAGATAAAATCAGTCTATAGATACAAATTTCATTAACAGTCCATCAGACATCTCTGAAAGCTACTGAAAATCATGTTACCAGTAATTTAACTCTTTTATGAAGCACCCATTAAAAACTCAAACTGATCAGACCTGCTGAACTTCATTTTAAATTCCAGTGATCTTAACGTTTTTTTTCTGAATTGTGTATAAAATGACTTGAATATTTATCTCAGTGTAAACATCATACAGTTAAGTCTTATTGAAGAGTTGGAACAAGCTGATGTAGAATACACTGAAGTTGACCGTGATTAATTTTAACACATAAAAGCTACTTAAAGCCCCTGAAAATGTAGTTTCAAATTGTTAGTTATTATTTTTAGTCTTACACATTAAAAATCTCAGCTTATCTGCTTTGGCAAAATACACAAAAAAAAACTAAATTGTAATAACTTTGGCAGAAAATACAGTTTATGTAGGACACCGCCAACCACAGTAAGATGTCGATTGAGAAAATTAGCTTTCAAAGCCTAAATTTAGGGGGAAACCTTTTGTCAATCAGTCAGCATACAAGATGATCTTTTGATCTTGGTGAACAATAGCTTTTATGTGCTATTAGAGGTTTATTGGTTTGCGCTGAGAGTAAAAAGTAGTTTTGCATTTGTATACCTTTGTAAGACAGAAGAGTACCATTTTGGCAAGTGCCTCCCTCAAGTATCAATTTCAAATGAATAAACATCTAGAAAATGTGAACTTCAAAAGCCTTCTGTTCCCTTTGTCTCTGAAGCTTGTTTCCCACGATGCCGCGCCACAACTACTACCTTGTGGCCCCGAGGGTCCGTGCACTGTGTAAGAAACATGGGATTCCTTACCAGGAGAAAACGTTGTGGCGAGGCTTCGCTGATATTACTGAGTAAGTCCAATTTAGTGTTATATCAAATATTGCCAGGATGTGACACAGCAGTTTGTCAAAAGCCCAAAAGACATGGTTTTTGGTTTGACAAGGCAGCAAAACCACTGTGTGTATATATGTCTTCAATAAAAGGTATGAAATTAAAGTGCAGCTGACAGAATAATGATGACTGAATGAGTAAAAAAATTGTTTGTAAGTTATTTTCTCACAAAATGTAAATTCCTTGCAGAACATATTAGAGTAGAGTATGCACCTCTTGTCTGATGTTTTGCGAATTGTTTTCTCATTTTCTTTTCTCAGGTCACTGAAGAGCTCAGGGGACCTCTGGCTCGATGCATATCTCCATAAGTGACCAATGTTATTCTCTACATTGTACCTAAAAAAAAAAAAAAGAAGTGATGTTTTTTCTCCTCTTCGGCATCATAAAATTATTGTATCTGTTTGGTTTTATAATCCAGTCAATAGCATGGGGATGATCTTTTTGTAATGATGGTGTTAGGGTTAAGTAGTTCAAACTTTTCAGATTCTATGCAGGGTTTTTAGTGCACCCAGGATTTTTTAAATTGCCTTACAGTATCTTGAGCAACAGTAGTATGGTGTTATAAATAAATAAATAAATAATAATAAATAAATAATATCTTTATGTTACCATATTTAATATACACTTAATTACATGTTAGGTTCTGTGTGTGTAGCATGAAGAGACTACAGACTTTCACTTCATTATACAACCTTGTGTTGTCTGATAAATAAACTACCTTGATCCTTCATCCTTGATAACTGTGAAAGCTGATATTGAGGTGGTGTTTTTTCTTGATCATGTGATACAGTTTGAGCAATAAAAGATACAATTATGCTGACAAATGCTGTGTAACAGGATTTAAATGTTAATCTACACTTTTTGTAAATTTCTTGTCAAACTTTCCTCTTTACTTGCAACTCTTGTTGATCTTACAGTATATAGTAAATAACTGTACTGTTTCTCCACTTCTTGCATTATTGGTCCATAGACAAACCCAAGTTATGTACAAATAAGGTGTAAAAGCAAATATTTACAATTTTTTTTTAATGGCCTTGAATATTTTGTTTAAATATTCATTTAATTATTCATACATGACCAACAAACGCTCATATTATCTTATTATACCCGTGTGTATGTGCAGTTCACACTGCAAAATATAATGCTGCATAAAAACACAATCAGCTGCGTCTGACACAATCGACCTCAACATCATGCTTCAGGACTGTCGGTAATGGTCACTGTGTCTGGGATTTTGTGGCTCAGAACCCAAATGCAGACAAGGACACAGCTTAAAAGGATATTCACACGGTTTATTGAATACAAGATCAAGATATGGTTTGATTTGGCTCGATGCTGGGGGTAAGGTTCCTCCGATGTCGCGGGGCAGGTAAGTGCCAGGGCCAGGCAAGGCAGGTAACAGGGCTGACAGAAAAGTGAGACTGCGGTGGGGAAATCTCCAGCCAGGCTTTCTCCGTGACTGAGCGACACAAGAGCAGAGCAGGGTCTCCAAAACTGGTACAGGGTAACAGGAGGCAGGTTAAGAAGGCCGTAGCGTTACCTACAAACAAGACTTAATAATCCAGCGGGAAACTGAGGAGATAGCAGGGTATAAACCAGTCCTGATGATCACAGGAGACAGGTGTGTGAAACGCCGATTGCCTGCAGCTGGGGAGACACGCCCAGCTACCAGAGATGCAGCCCACAACTCTGCCCTGAGGGAGAGGAAGGAAAAGACGAACGAGAGGGAGAAGAAGAGAGAGAGAGAGAGACACCACACATTGACAAACAAAACTAAAACCCACCAAGCATCTCTCACACACTCAAAAAGGGAAAAAAATAACTCAAACACAGACACCCACCAGCTGTCACCCAGTGTGACACACTGCAGGCAATGTACCCTGTGGTTCAAACTACCTCTCTGGGATTTCCTACAATGTGTCTTGGCAAAGACATTTCCTCCTCTCACTGCTCTCCACTGGGGTGTCCAAAGGCTCATGGCTAAGGCCTCTTCTTTTCTCAATTTACACCACCACACTGGGGCCAATCATTTACTTGCATGGTTTCTCCTACCATGCAGACTTGGGTGTCATGATTGATGACCAGCTGTCCTCCTCCTCAAATAAGTGGCTTTGGATAAAAGTGCCAAATGAGTAAATATAATGACAGCATTGCACTATTATAGACAATAACTTCATGCAGGATTATTTAATTATTGTTGACTTCTTATTAAAACCGGAACATATTATATTAATACTTAAATAATAAAAAAGGACTTCTGTTACTGGCTAGGAGGACTAGAGTAAAACAAAAATAATTGGCTATATGTCAGACAAAGTCATTCATTAAACAGCTGAATAAACACAGACCACGTGGCTTTGTTGTTGTGGGCACACATGCAGGCTCTTTCTTTGCTGCCAGAATCAATCCTCTCCTGCCTCTTCTTCAAGGTCTCCTGCAGCTCTGAGTCTCCAGTTGTCTTCTGTTAAAAAAGACAGATTTAAGATCAACAGAGTTCATTCTATCAATCAGGCACATGCACACATAGACATAAAAAGGGGCTTCAGCACCTGCCCTTTTTCTTCTTCGAGAGAAAGTGCCCTTATTTCTGAGCCGTTTTTTTTTTTTTTTAATAAATGAATATACAGTAGCCTATATTTATTCCTGTTCCGATTCTCTGAAGTGTTATGTATCCAATAACACCAAAAGAATAGAAACAATTTATTGCCTTGTGAAAATAAACAAATTATTAATGAAACTATGCGATAAATACATACTTGAAACCAGTAGCATAGAAAACTTTTTGGCATAGTTTGCTTTGCTGTTGCCTGCTCCTGTGATAAACCTAGTGAATCCTAAAGAAGACCGTGGTCTCTGTGTGAACTGATTATTTTGTAGAGTTTTTGTAGAGTTAATATATTTGTCTTGTTTTAAAAAATGACCCTGCCCACCAAAATGTCTGTGCATGTCCCTGCTGTCAATGACTGCACTGTTTTGACATAAAATTGCATAAGCATTGGCAACAGAAGGGAGTGCTACTTCTCTTATCTAAATACAATAAAAGATTACAAGGTTATTAATTACCTGTTCTTCCCAATGACATACAAACAAGGTATATAACGCACCAGATACCAAACATAAGAACAGTAGCAACAGCACATGTCGAATCATGTGTCCAAAGTACCACAA